TACTGAATACGTACACAGCATTCCAATTAATTAAATTGCATCCTCCTCTGATGAATAGATAAGTTGTTACTACCCTGGTTACTGTACAGAGCTTGAGTGATTTGCCCAGCATCAACAAAAGGAACCCGAGTAAGCTCCCAGGACCTTGATTTCTTTCCGAGGTCCTTTCTCAGACAAAGTCTCCTGGATATTACACAGCTGCGAAGCAGCCCAAAAGTCTCAGATTTGTCATGCAAACTTGAGCAACCTGAACCTGAGGAAGAGATAATTTTGAAGAATACTGCCACTGCTTTCTTCCATGAAGGAGAATGAGCCATGAAGTGAATGAGCACTTCTCATAATTTTGAGTGGCCAAGTCCAGTGGCAAGGGTCGGAGGACTGAATAACCCAGTTGCGCTATCTAAGCCAGATGTGGCCCTATTCTTGCGATGAGATGATCACTCCTTCAGAGAGGCCTGTTATAAAATTATCGAGTGACATGGGGGGTGGAAGGAATCAAGCCCGTTGTAATTGAAGTGACTTGAAATAATAAATGCACACACTTTCTTTAAACACAGCTTGCCACATCCTGAGAATCTGGAATCAATTCCTTCCCTTTCAAGAAGCTTAAAAGTGGTGGGACTTTGATATGGCATGAGCATGTTTGCTTCTGGGCTTACAGCCCTAGCCAGCCCATTCCAAACCTTTCAACATTTTTATATTATAAGACAGAAAAGTTAGCAAAACAAAGATGGAAAAAAAGCATCAGAGATTCAGGGAGCTATTAAATCAGGGCAGTCTAGCTGCCAAATACCTTTGGTAAGTGAATGAATCATGATCAATAACATATTGCCATGCAGCCTTACACGAGAAGGTTATCACCTGTTTCTGTGCCAGACATGAAACATAATGGCATGTGGCTAATGAAGTACTGCATGAATCCAGAAGGAAAAAAGAAAAAAAAAAAAGAAAAAAAAAAAAAAAAAGAGGAAAGAAAGAAAAAAGAGGAAAAAAAAAAAGGATAAAAATGAAAAAAAAAAAGGAGGAAGGAAGGAAGGAAGGAAGGAAAGAAGGAAGGAAGGAAGGAAGGAAGGAAGGAAGGAAGGAAGGAAGGAAGGAAGGAAGGAAGGAAGGAAGGAAGGAAGGAAGGAAGGAAGGAAGGAAGGAAGGAAGGAAGGAAAAGAGAAAGAGAGACAGAGACAGAGAGAAGAAATGGGTGTGGGGGAAGTACTATTATTCTATGTGATTTTAAAACATTGTACATCTAAGTAATTTAAATTCATCCAGAAAAATACAATTTTTTCCTTGAAAATTTTGTCAAAATCCATAGGTTTCTATGAAGTACTTCTCTTCTGACAATGTCACATTTGTAGGAGGAAACTGTCTTGGCAGAAGGAAACCTAGTATTTCAGGGAGATGTTTCATCCTTGATCGTAAAGCTTCCTGCTTTATACATTCACATATTTGCCAGCAGAGGGTATCACAATCTTAGAAACAAACAAATATATGTATCATTGTGTCTACTTACATGTAAGAATTCAAACACTAAACCAAGAAATTACAAATCTTATTTTTTCATGACGTTTCCACTTCCAGGAATTAAAAAAATAATAATAATAATAATAAATAATTTAAAAAAATCAGACGCTTAAAGGCTACAGGCTCTGTTATCAGTGCCTTCTCACCACCTCTCCATAACAAATAGCCAAGTGATGGCATCACTTGAAGTCTGAAATTGTTGTACGACCCTAGCTGTAAACCCTCCTGGGAGAAACACTAGTTTAGGCTTATCTTTGGCATGCATTGGGTTCTCGTTAACTCTCACATCCAGTATCCTCCTACTGTGTAAATCTCATTAATAATCCCAACCACTTCACACCACTTTTCTGCAAAGATTTCATAGCCACAGGCTGTAGTAAGAGCTCATGTTACTTAGATCTCATGATCTCTGCTAAACCAGGATGCCCTGAAGAATGATCATATATAATTTTACCTAACCACACTTCTTACAGCTAGAGATCAGTGGATGCTACAAATTCCCATCCTGATATCCCGTGCCTCAATGAATTCACCTCCCTGACTTCCAAGTTAAGAGACTAAAATTTAAACAACCTGATGTTTGGTGATTTAGGATACTTGGTATCCAACACTCTCCTATTCCCAACCAAAAACAATTAGAATTATTTTTGATGTAATGGTCTGGGGTCTCCATTCTGCTTTGGTTTTATTGACAAGTGTTCTTCTATTTTGATCATGTACAACAGATGTCCCAGTCACTGGTGTGGCTTTCCAGTTTAACCCACAAATTTGAGTCAGCTGAAGCTAGGACTCAAATAGAGGATGGATACGAGATGTGCCATTATATCTATTTGCGAGTTGCTGTGTATAGGAAATAGCCACAAGCAGCAACCTCTGTTCTTTTTGGACCTTACCTACTCACATGGAGATAGGGAAAGGGACATTCCTCCTAATTGTATAGTATCTAGTGTATAGTATAATATATTATATTACTATATATCATATATTATATCATCATTTATCATCTATCATCTATCATACACCATCATATATCATATGTAATATATTTAGAACTTGCTTTCTGTTTTTACAGAGCAATATATAATTATTTCTGCTGTTATATAGGGAGGGTAAGCTGCCAAAATCTTTTGCAAAATGTAATGTATCAGATCAAGGCTAGAGTACCAGATCCCTTTTTGATTGATGTTTCAATTTAAAAAAATACCCATCCAAAATAGCTGCATTAGGAATTATGTATGCAGTGATGCAATCCTTTCCTTTCTTTTCTTTTTTTGCACATAATCTCTTCTCTGCCCAAGAAATTCAACACAGCTACCTTTTAATTAACTCATTATCTGCCATCCAAATCAGCCTTGAGAATAACTGCTGTAGGTTCAGATGAACTGGAAAGTGGGTAAAGTGTCCCTGAGATAAGGGAAATACTTTTCTTGCTCAGCCTTTGAAAAATTGAAGTCAATTACTCTGCTAAAATTGAGATCTAATTCCCAGATTTTGTAAAACTCTCCTCCCAGACCCAAGTACTCAGAGGTCCTCAGACACTTCACAACAGTGTTACAAAGAACACATAGGTACTCTGCTCATCTCAGCTTTATTCTCCTTGTGCTGCAGCACTCCAGCTGTAAAAAATTAAGCTAAAAACACTTCTCTACTTCAAAGAGGAGAGCCAAGTACCAGCGTGTGTCTGCTTATCACAGGAGCATGAACCAGCAGCAAAATGGGGTAAGGAAGTTTGCACAGGGCAAAGTTTGTTGCTGTCTTGCAGCTTACTATCTCTTTTCCCTATAACCATGGTATGCTCAATTGCCTTGGAGAAGGATTTTCATTTTCTTTGCAAAAGGACTTAAACCAAGTTTGCTAGACAGAACTAGGGAAAGCTCCCATTAATCACACTGGAGATAGAACAAATGTAGACAGCCCACCAGGAGCACTTTGCAGGGTTAGATTCTTTATCTCACAGTAGCAGATATCCAACCTTGAATTCCAGCACTGGTTGCAGCCAGATGCAGACACCTCTAGGACAGCCATTTATTACCAGCAGGAGCTGCCAGCCCTTACAAGTCCAGGGATCTGCATTTTGCAGAGTCACTGAGAAGCAACACAGCAGGATTTTACATGTGGACAAATACTTGTGACAGTTTTAGAATACAAGGGACAGCACAGATGAATTTAAGGCTTACAGTTGCACCACGGACCATAAAAATTCCTTGTAAATGGCCAAGGTATTTATTTTAACTGTAACATCTATTTAAGTTAACTCTTAATTTATCTTCTTTTTACAAGCCTTCCTACAGAGGTTAGCTGAGCATCCCATTGGCAGCAGACAAAAAAAATAACTTTTTAGCATCCCTGCAAAGTGAAGCACTATAATTATTTCCTTCTGTTAACAACACAAAAAAATATTAAGGAGCAGATTTTTATCTGACATAAATCATCATTTCCCCATTTTCATCTCATGAGTCAGCCCCAGGCAATGAAATATAATCGCACAAATGAAATCTGTGGCAGAGCTGGAACCTGAAAAATCTACTTTTCTCTGAACAATGTGATGACTGCATGGTGTTTAGCATGCCTTAGGTCTCTGTGAAATTAGTAATACAAGGTAAGATGAACGTCAATGAATGACTGCAAGTTCTCTGCTAGATCATCTCAAGGGATATGACAGTGTAAATCCATTTGCTTTCATGGAACAACAGGAGCTTGCACTAGCTGGAGCTGTGCCGCTCTGAGGGGAAAGGAATCTGCAGAAGAAAAGTGATTTCATTAAGAAGAGAGTGTAGGATGCGTGTAAATATACATGGCATCCAGCTTCAGGGGGGGGAAGGGTATTTCTTTTGACACAAATGCATGAGGGAAAGTCTGGAGTGTACAGCGTGCAATTATATTTCTTAAAGCCACTTCTTTCATTCAATTTCCATTCAGTTACTTTCCATTTAATGTCACAATATGACTCAGTTTATATCAGCAAATGAGCTATACTACCATAGCATAACCACGAGATAAGTGGGAGAGCCTGGTGTCAATGTCTACAACTAAGAAATTATGCAGGGTAAAAAGGCACAGATTGCTTTCCGTTCATTCACTCGTTCATTCACCAATAATTCAGTACTAAACTTTTAGTACTGTGTCTATTGCTGTCACAATTTTGGACCCAGACAACCAGAACTCCTCACAAGAAGTGCCTGGGCCGAGTAGAAGCGTTAGAGCAAGCCACCAGCCACCTCTAGTAGCTCTGTGGGATCCTGTTCCGATGGAGAAGCTTGGCTACTATTGAATGCTCTCTGTCCTATCTTATTCACTGGTATAGATGTAGTTAATTTGACTGTGGACATGTGAAGTACATATGAACCTACCATCTCAAATTTATCAGCAGTGGTATCTGATATTATCAACACAGTTTACAATCAAATGAGGAGAAAACAGCAAAATAATTCAGCTTCTAAGCACAAAAACTCCCCGGCACATTTGATAATGACTCTACTCACCAGCATTATCCTGCTGCTTGGTGTTTTTGATGTATGCAGAAAATTTGGAGAAGATATCGATTCCAGCAGTGTTTGATTCCCGGTGCTTAGCAGCCAGCTTGGGATATCTGAAAGGAGGTTGGAGAGTAACAGCGTGTTACCAGCACTATAGTCATGATTACAAATACAATTTAAAAGAAGACATTTTTAAAAAGCCCTTTACGAGAAACTGCAATTAGCATTGTCATTTATCTCAAAACAACAGCTTGGCAAGACCCTCTTAATGATATCTGTATCTGTCAAGGCAGAGATTTGGGCAGTTACACAGGGATGGTTTCAGGACAAAGGTAATCACACTGGTGTTTTATGTGACCACCATCCAAGATACAGTGGCCTTAAATCAGGAGGAAGCATAAATTTCCAGAAAGGTGCAGGGGAGGCTGGCAGCCAGCTCTCTCTGTTATGAATGGCAGTCATGTCTAACTCCCTGAGCTGAAAATGTCTGCCAGGATGTAATAGCAAGACATGTTAGCATCAGCCAGGTGAAGGAACATAAAGTTTTCAGTCTCCAAATTGTTGTTTTTATAGACATCTGGCACAAAGGAATATATTGATCTGAAAGATCAACATGAACTAACGACTCCTACTGATTTCAGTGGTCTTGGACTAGACTACAGAAAACTTAAGTACCTGATCTCTTGCCTCACGACTGGTCCTATGGCTGCTCATTCAGTTGGAGGTAAAATGCTCCATAAGGAACTGAGAATATTTTCATTGATTCATAGATTTTAAGGTCCAAAACACAAGCCAGCAATCTTTTTTCTCTGTTATCCTTGTACTAAGTCCAAAATGCTTGACTAACTAAGGCATATCTGGTGAATCTGACATGTTCCTTGGTTGTTTGTTCCAATGCTTATTCATACATATTGAAAAATCTGTGCCCTATTTCTAAGCTGAATTATTTTGGTTATAATTTCCAGTCATGGGCTCTTGTCATTTCTTGATGAGGCTAATGAGCACTTTTCTGACTCCAGAGCTCCTTGTACTCAGCAGTCAGTTCCCCTTCCAACCTTTTTAATACACCACACAGCTCAGAAGCCTTCAGTTTTTCATGATAAAACACTTTTACTGGCACAGATATTTTGTGTGGCAATGCTGTGCATCCATTCCAGGTTATTTTTAGCTCTGTAAAATGTGGACACCAGACCCCTACAATTTTTTATTTTTTTTTTAGCATTGGTCTCCTTAATTCTGCATACAAGGGCATCCTGAAATGTGTACAGAGAAAACATTCTGCAGTTATTAGTCATACAAGTAACTTTCACACATGGAAGTCATCTCACTGAAGCCAGCAAGTTTCATAAATAAATATTACTCCTGTAAGTAAAGATCGTAGGAGGGAGTGCTTTTTAGGAACTCCTCTTAGAACATCTTTCATTCCTAGGAAATGGCATATTGACTGAAAAAATCCCAAGTTCTTACTTTGGAGGTGCAAGAGTCTCTTCCAAGAATTCCTCAATCTTGTTAACATCTGTCTTGACTTCTCCATTAAAAGTCAAGAAAGGTGGGTGGGTCCCAGGAGCCAGATTGTGTAGATCAGCTGGCTTTCTGCAGAGAGAAAAAAGGTCATGGAATCACCAATCTTTATGGTCAGGTAGCTGCAAAAATATTTACAGTTCCTGCAAAATCAGTTTGCCCTTCTATTTCTTCAGCAGTTTGTGGTGAGAATACTTTTAAAGTACCCTGAACACCCTGTTTAATATAAAAACATTCCACAAGTGCAAAAAGAAATAACAGACTTGAATCCCAACTATTTTGTTGTGCACCACAGGCTCTCTAAGCCAGATACCAATCTCACTGAACTTGGTGGGGCCTTTCTATTGGAAAAACACTGGATCGTATAACTACTTTCAATTAAACTGAACAATTTTTACCTTTTCAGGTCAACAGTGGTGACGTTGAACACAACTCCTTTGAGCCAGAGGATCATGAAGAGACGCTGGGAGAAGGGGCAGTTCCCAATGCTTTCTCCATCTATACCAGCCTGAGGGATGGAAAAAGATGAAAAATAGAGTTCAGATATGTTAGTCACTTATCTCCCTCAAGATGGAAATTGGATGTTGAAAGAAGAATAACAAGTTCAAAAATAACCTACAGTGCCTGTTATTTTATCTAGTTTATCATTAGCTCCATAATGGAGTTACTCCAAGATTCAGCCTTCAGCAGGTGCTTGAGAAAGCAACCTGGTGCCTCTCCTGGGGACAGCTCTGGCTCTAGATGTGTCCTTTGCTTATGGCAAGCAACATCCAGAAGACTGTATATTCTTCTCACCATATGTTCACTGTATGTTCAATTACTCCCATCCTACAGGACTGCCTGCTGCATTGACATGCTAGGAAACTCAGGTTTTCTGCTCTAAATCTGTGGATTGCACATCACTGGGTCACTGTTTTACTATCCAAAATGGGGACATTTGGAAGTGGATTTAAACTCAAACATGGCTAACATTCAATCATTCTTCTTCATGTCCAGTAAAGAAAGAGCCTCAGACACAAACAACTGGATCCAGACAGAAATCTGCATCTGAAGACTTCCAAAGTTCAAGGCAGACTTCAGCCGCCACATTCAGTCTGTTCCTATCTCTAGCACCTAATGAGTTGCCTACAAACCACTACAAAACAATAAAAAACTGCTAGTGTTAGTCCTAAGGAAACAGCTTGTGTTTTTTTTTCCTTTAAAAATTTATGGTCTTTAGCCATGCAAATTCTGACTTTAAGCCATAGAGGGATACAAATAACACTGTTTGAACTGAGCCAAAGCTGTGTCCAAGGACAACATCCTTCTACAATAATTACGCTTGTGGCCAAAGCTTTCAAGACGATAATGGTTTTGATAGATTTCCATTTTAATTTGTGGTACCATTGTGTTTAAAAGAGTCTTATAATCCTGGTGAAGCAACCAACCTTCCTTTGTTGACCCATATGGGTTGCATAACTGTATTTTATGCACACAGTGTGTGTCTGAAAATGGCTGATGAAAGAACTAAGCAAATACATGTCCTTTTCCTCTGGAGAAAATATTATATTACTCTGCTTGCTTTCATAAATTTTATCTTATTAATATTCAAGCTGTGGAGTGGCATTTCTCTATCTTAAAGAAGGAATCACTTCTAATTACTGCTGTTTTGTGAAACGTTCACAGACCAACTAGAAACATTTTGAGATGTGTCCAGTTGCTACAATGGGCATAGGAAAAGTTTAGCTGAAAGATTATCGGGTAGGCGTCATGAATCTTTCTCATGTCTTCAACACAGATTTTGATAATTCGGGGTTTAAAAACAATTTCCAGACTTCCCATCCACCAAAATATGGAGGGAGTGTGTATTCAAGGCTTGGAGACAGCCCATTGTAAAGTTTAGGGCTATGTAAAGAGTTTTTCTCTGGGCTCAGATTCGGTATCAAACACTCAGACTTTAGAGATAATTGGATCTGGGGGTACAGTTTGGCTGCACTTCTACCTGCAATTATAGATCAACCAAATGCCTGGCACATGGCATATACAAGAACCTGCAAACACTGTGGATAAAGTAGAGGTATGGTATGAGATGAGCAAGAGAAGATGCTTCTTCTGTCTGCTTGGCATGTGAATATACTAGTTTTGCACAACTTTATTAATTAAACAGTTAGCTCTGCTCTCCAAATTTCATGGCAGAACAATGACAATGTTGCCATGGGAATACCAGGCACCACAGTGTTGCATGCAATAATTACTGTGAAATTACGTTTATTGTTTTGGCTTTGGCTTAATAAACACTTGCCAAGAACTTGTAACTTCTTAGCCCTCCTAAAAAGAGTCAAATGCCATATGGAAAAACAGTGACACAACAGCACATTTCCCCTTGGCTTTTTCACCATCTCAGTCTAATCATACCCTTCATAGTGGAGTTGGCTATCAGAGTCTGCAAACAATATATTACAAACCTTAAACTGAAGGAAAAACAGATTGACCACTGAATTAGAGAGCAAAATAGTGCAGACAGAAGGGTTGACTCCCACTTAACATCCATCTTCAATCCATCTTCTCTGGACTTACTTTGTCTTATTAACTCCATTGAGTCTGATTCACTCTTCACCTGACTCCCCTCAAACTGAGTATAAAACCCTGATTTCCCAAGTCCTGCAGATACCTTCTGAGCAAATGGGTCTGGTATTGCCATAACACACAGAGCCCCAGCCCTCTTATAGGTCTCCATCCTGCATGGAGGCACTCTCCGACCCGTCCTCATAACCCACTTCTTGTGCTGCAAGTAACAAATTTCAACTTCTCAGGAAAGAGAGGCCATTTCCCTGCACTCTCCAACTATATATTCTCATAGGAAGGTAAAGGATTACCTAGATGTGCATCTTTTTGTACTTCCTCCACCCTGAAAGGCAACAGTGAAAAACCCTCTCAAGACCGAAGAGGAGTGAAGGTGGGACAGAGTGACTGAATGGCAACTAAGGGACAGTTGTGATGGGTCATGTGAGGCAAAGGGGTGCAGAAATCACTGAGGACAAAAGATGTGGAGTCTGGAAGAAATAATACTCATTTGGAGATCAAAAACAAAAGTAATTGTGTAGGTCAAACGAGGCCTCCAACAGCTCCAAATGGTCAGAACGTCTTCCCAACACTTCCAGACGAGTGGAAAACATTAATTGCTAGAGACATGTTGGGAATACACAGAGGAAATTCCAGAAACGAAAGATAAACTAAAGACACAGTATGGTATGATCTCTTTTCAAAGCTTCTGGATCTGGAAGCCAGGCTCATGATTTGGGTGGAGTCTGACTCATGGGTTTAGATCTCATGTGACTGGCATAACTGAAAATGCTACCACAAATCACAAGGCAAACTGGTGACAGAGGAGGGAACAGAATCAAAATCTCCCCAGCAACACAATTTATCCATTAAATTCAGCTCTTGTTAGCAAAAATTATAGGCAAGGCTCTGTTGGTTTTGTGAATCCTTTCTCGTTGCTTCTAACAGCAGTCAGCAATTCAATGCTCAGCACTCAGAAAGAGCAAAAACTTAGTGGGTAATAACTTCAAAGGCTTATCAGAGTGTCTTGAGATTACCTGTGAAGTCTATTAACTACTAGGAGGAGAGGAGGAAGAACAGAGAACTTCCCAGGCTTAGTCACTTTCAGCTTCAAAGGAAACCAGCTTGCTTAAAGCACCCTGGTAGCGACTAAATGCAAACCTATTATGTGTCTGTCTCAGCTTAAGGGCTCAGAAATGCAGGAATTAAATAATACCTTAATCAAGATCAAGAACTCAAACAGTGGACAGAAAGAAAAGAACAAATAATTGACAAGCTGTAGAAACACCGTTTATCCCTGCTGCTACTCACAAATGAGCACAAAAGCTCTCTCATGTAGCTTCCCTGAGGCACAGCAAAGTGATCAACTGCTTACAGAAAGGAGCAAGTCGATGAAATATGCACCTTCCCTGCCAGTAACGCTGGATATTGCTGATTCAATGACTGCAATCGGCTATAGACTTGAGGCTCTGTGGATGCCAGGATCAAGGAAACTGAGACTTTAAAATGTGCACTTGTAACTCTCAGTGCTGTGAAAGGGTTTCAGAGCCTCTTCCTCCCCACAGAACAGCAATGCCTCCTTTGCCCTATGGAGAAACACCTCACCTTTTCAGACAAAAAATACCCAGAGTGACCATGGAAGAGTAAAATGGATTCAGGAATTTGCTGGGTGAGACCCCTTGGCCAGTGCTCATCCCACTGAATTTTCCCTGAGATGCCTAAGGCCCCCTGTGTGAGCAAGGCAGGGAAGCACATCCAGAAGATGAACCTAGCCACTTTTCATTTCGACTGAGCCTGATGAAATTTAGATGGGATGTATGTAGACCCCACTAACAGAAAAGCCTGGAGTTTGTGGAGGCAGAATTGCTGGATTCTTTTGCTCCATCTTGGAAACATCACTTTCTACTCTTGTTGCTTCACTTAAACCTTTATTTATTAGGTTAGCTACAAAACAGGATGCTTTTCTACTTGGCCTGTGACATTTAGGTACTACGCACCATTTGATGCATGGTCTTGCCCTGGAACTCAGTGTAATCACATTAGGAAAACCCCAGCATCACAGCAGCTGCTTGCCTCTGTCTGAGCGATGACAAGAATGAAGAAGGTATTCTCCTTTGTTATTTATAAGGCACTTCTCCTTAAACAATTTAGCTATTTTTAATGAATTAATTAAAGCTTAAAGATATTTGTGAGCACAAGCAGGGGATATACCAACACATCACCAAGGAACAAAATTACAGGAGGTTTCAGGAGGGAGAAAAAAAAGTCTCGGTGATTTTATGAGCTTGTGCCAAACACTTCTATAGAGTAGCAGCAATACCGAGAGCCTCCAACCACTGCACAGCATAGCTGAATGACGCGAACAGGGAGCTCTACTCAAGTTCAGGTTACTGCTTTTCCTTAAATGAAATATCTGTAATAAACTTCCTCACTGGTTCCAGAAATACTCCAACTGGTAGATGCAGAGTGACTGCAATGCATACAGGCAACTGTATGTTATTATACCTAACCTTAAGAGGGAAAAAGGTTTTGTTTCCAGTTCTTCCCCAAATATAGAAGCTTTATAGCAACATACTGTCATTAATAATGACTAAGCATCTAGCTTAAAAATGGCAGCACTGGAAAGAGCTGCATATTGGAAACCTCTGTGCTTTCTCCAGGAACAGAATATATTTGGTTTTATCTATTTTCCTTCTCTTTTAATTTTTCATTGCATTGGGACCATTCTGTCCACTGCTCTCTTGGACTCTCTGGTAAAGTAGGCAGATATTTTTGATGACACTAAAATACATTTCTTTTTCAAAAGGATTTTAACAAGTTAGCAAGAGCAGGCAGGCTAGTTCACCCAAATGTTTCCAAGTAAGGATTAAGGAGAGAATTGATTTCATCATCCTTACAATCAAAATCTAGATTCACATTGCACATGATTGCACTCTCTCTATTTTAGAATTGGGAAAGCGCCTGCCT